CTGACATACTTTGGACATGTTGCCAGGAGGGACGGGTCCTTGGAGAGGGACATCATGCTTGGGAGGGTGGAGGGACAGCGCAGCAGGGGAAGACCCTCTATGAGATGGATTGATTTGGTGACTGGCGTAATAGGGATGGGTGTGTCAGAGGCGGTGCGGTTGGCGCAGGATAGAGCAGGGTTTAGGGCTATTGTGCATAGGGTCGCTATGAGTCGGAAAGGACTCGATGGCACATAACAACAACAACAACATTGTGGGAGTGATTGTTATGTTACTTGTTCTGGAGAGAGTTCTGGTGCCTTGGTGATAAGAAATTACGCTGCAAATGAAGGTACATGACTCAAGTCCATCAGTGGCTCTGTGGGAGAATGATGCGCAATCTCCCCATGTGATTTTTAGACTCTGAAAACCTGCTGAAGGTCAGCCAACTCAATGATACAGAACTTGAAGTTACTTATAGCTTAGATGTGTATATGCTGGTATATCATTTGCTCTTATTGCTACAACACTTGTCTGTCAGTTTACTAGGATAACGTGGCTTGCTATGAGAGTGGAAAATATGCCACCAGTGTTTTCAAATGCCAGCAGGGTTATCCATGGTAGACAGGTTTTAGTGGAGTTCATAGATGATGCCAGAATAGGAAGCAGGATTGCCCATCTATCTCTGAAATAAGAGACCTTCAAAAACTCTGTGAGAGGAATAGATACATTAGAAGTATAGCCCATCAACAAACGGATAGAGAAGCTCTGGTATATTCACACAATGGAATACTAGGTTGCATTGAAAAACAAGGAACTCATAGAATATTACTCAAAATGGGTGACCCTGGAGAACATTATGCTGAGTGAAATATCTCAGTCACAAAAGGACAAATAATGCATGGTGCCACTGTTGTAAGACATCAAGGTTGGGGGAAACTGAGAAAGATGGGATAAATAGTGTTTACTGTTTAAAAGGGATATGTGATTAGGTATTATTGTCATGAGGAGTCCAGAATGAAGCCTGCATAGTGAAGTGGACCCAGGGAGAAGGATTGTAAAGCAATGAAAGAATTTTACTTTTCAAAGAGAAGATTGTACTGGGGGAGGGGGACGAGGTGGGCAGGGAGAAAAGTGCAACAGTGAATAAATGGAAATCCAAAGTTTCTAAATTTTCATTGTTGTTAAGTGCCGTCGAGTCATAGGCCACTCAAAGTGACCATATGAACAAAAGTCCTTGACAGTTGTGTGACTTTCATCCTTTCTCCATGTTCGTAGGGTTTCCTCAGGCAAGCTATTTACAGAAGTGGATGCCACTCCTGCTTCCAACCTTGTTTTAACCAGGAAGTGCCACCAAACACTGTCCACCATGGGTAACCATTATCGCATTTGACACATCAGTGTCACAGTGTTCAGCTTCACAGTGACCACAGGTTTCCTCCGTACAGCAAGTGGACACACCAGGGCTGTACAACCTAGAAGAATATTCACCAAAAACAAAGACAGGCCTTAGGGCCACAGATTAGTCACCCACCTGTGGCTTGGTAGCATCGCTTTCAGTCCAATAGGCCAACTGGTCTCTATGTTGTTAAGTGCCATCGAGTCATAGGTGACTCAAAGCGACCCTATGAACAAAAGTCCTTGACAGCTGCGTGACTTTTATCCTTTCTCCATGTTCATAGGTTTTCCCGAGGTCAGCTATTTATAGAAGTAAATTTAATTTTCATTAAAATTAATAATAATAATAAACCAAACTTAATTAAAAAAAGAAGTATAGCCCAGATTTGGAGTTACTCAAAATAAGGAGAGATAACATCCATCAATAATGAAAACAGCCCAAATGTTCAACCATAAATCAAAGGGATTAAAAAATTATATTAAAAAAATTATATTCACGCAGGAGCAATGATTTTGTAAATTACTACCTAATTTTGGAGAGACTGGAGAGCATTATGCTGAGTCAATTCAGTCCTATAAGGACTAATACTGTATAAGACCATTACTGTAGAACATGTGTGAGGATCCAAGGGGGGAGAGCAGAGGGATGAGGATAGGTAGGTATAGGGTAGAAGTGTGGTTAATCTTAGAGTTGCACAATTTGATGGGTAGAGGGTGGGGCGGGTAAAGGAAATGAGAGATTTCTGGGCTGAAAATAATGTATACAAGCTTTGTAAGTAAACCAGTATGAAATAAAAATTTTCTTTAAAAAAAATTGAAACATAGGCGAGCTCTGGTGGCCTAGTGGCAAGAAGCTGCAACTGCAATCTCAGAGATGCACCTTTCGAATCCACCAGATGCTCTGTAGGAGAAGGAGGAACAA